TCCACTATGTAGCCAAAAAGTATAAAAGTGGCAGATGTGGACCCCAAGTTCAATATCGAGTCTTCATACTCTTTTACTAATGAACTACTACTTTATATTACCCAAATTAAACAGTTATTAGTATCTTCATATACTTTTAATTGTAGCCTCTTTTGTAATTGCAAATTGCTTTAAATCTTCTTTGTTAAGTTTTCTAAAATAAAATGCCTTCTGATTTAGTTATAACACAGTAACAAATGAGGTTACAAAAAGTGTTCACTATCTAAGATTGCTCTAGTTATCTACTATCTTAAAAGAAGTAAATATAGAATAACAGTATTAAGAAACAAGAACAAATATATGATATACATTAATATTGCAGCAAATAAACAAAATAAAGAAAAAAACAATTGATAAAAACATAGGTATATGATAGGTGCAAACAAATAAGATACAAGATTGGTTAAAAGAAAAGATAGCATTAAAAATAAAAATATAATCAACATTAACTACAGCTAAGTTAATAGCAATATGAACAGCAATCATAACAATACCAAAAGAAAAAAAACTAAAAATATTTATAAACAGAAATATTGCAATTAAGAACATTAGTAGAGGTTTAAAGTATATAGATAAAAATAAAATTTTTAAAAAAAAAATGCTTTATAAATAATAAATATAATTGATCTAATTAAAACAAAAAACATATAAATAGAATAGTTTAAGGTAAAAAGCTATAGCAAGAACAAGTAAAGTAATAAAGCTGACAGTCTAGCAAAGAAAAAAACATTAAGTAGAAAGATAATATATGTAAAAGAAATTAGTTACAAAAAGATAAAATACTGTCTAAAATAGGAAAACAGATAAATAGACATGCTAACAAGACTTCTATATAAGCTAGTAACAAATACTAGGCTAGATGCAAAATAGAAAAAAACAACAGTAATCAAAAATCTAGAACCAGTAACAGAAATAATGATTTATGATTAGCCATATTTTTGAAAAAGACAAAAGACAACCAAAAAAGTATATTGTATAACAAGAAAAATTAGTATAAGAAGAAGTGTTTTTATAAAATATGTATTAGACAAACTTTTGATCTTAATAAAAAAAACTTAAATATATATATAGCTGCAAAATGCCAAGTATGTTAAGACAAAGCAAAGAAACACAAGAATATTTGGCATTATGTAAAAAACAAGTAAGTTTCTAAAAAAGAATACAAAAAATATCTATTATAGAAATATAGAAATAATTAAAAGAAAAAAAAAAGTCAGAATTCTATCTTATATATTATATATAATGCTTTTTAAAAAAAAGAAATAAAAAAAATAGAAATAAGAAAAGTATTAATCAAGATCCTAATTTTAAAAATGATTCAAGAAGACTAGCACAATTTCTAAACATAAAAACAAGACAACAATTTGTAAACATATTAGCAGAAATAGCTTGAAACACTTTTTATAAACAAGTTTAGAGAACATAATACAAAAAAATCAATGTATAAGAAAAAAGAACAGGAATAAATAACAAAATAAAAAAAGAAAATTATAAGAAAAAGAATTTAAGCAAAAAAAAAAAAGCTAGTTAGCAAGAAATAAAAGAAAAAAAGAAGAAAGCAAAAGAGAAAAAAAAATGAATTGAAAATAAAGCTAGGAAGACAATTTTGAGACTTGTTATAGAAGGAAAAAGACTCTTTCATTATGAACTTTAAGTAGTCAAACAAGTAGCTTACTTCTGCTTGAAATAATGCAGCAGGTTGCACTTAGATGTTATTAAAGTAACCAGATAATGCTAGACTTAGTTGTTAGATATATTTATATAATTGTAATAGTAATTCTAAAAATTTTAATAAAGTACTAGTATGATTGCTTAAGTATAAAAAAAAAAATTTTGCTTATAACTTTTACTTATTTATTCTAAAAACCTTTTTAGTTAAAATTTTTATAGATAAACTTTCTGTTTCTTATACTTTCTATAAATGTAACTCTTTTTATTTTTTTACTTGTTATCAATATAACCAAATTAGCTCTTTACTTTATTAGCTATTTGTCCTTTAACTAAAACAATTTATTACTTAATCTTTAATTCTCTTAACAATATTTTAAATACAACAGTTCTTAACATATCTGTTAATCTTGTCTGATTTATATAAAGAAATTTTTATACTTAACAGGTTTAAACTATATAACTTTTTATATATACCTTCTTTTATCTTTACTCTATATAGTTTAGTTTCTATTTATTTTATTTTTATTATTTATAATACTTCTATTTTTTATTATACTACTATTTTTTTTATTAAACTTTTTTTATTATTTTTTTTTTTTAATGTTAAGGCAAGTAATTGTGATTCAGAAGTTTATTAATAATTAGTTGAAATATAACTATTATACATAACAGCTATAAAAACAATTATAGAAAGAGTGTACAACTAGTCACTTATATAACTTTAGTCATTATCTATTTTAAGTAGTCCATCTAAAGGTTCTACACTAGTTGCCATACCTAGAACCTATCTGTAAATTCTCTATTTAAACATTCTAGTTTCTGTATTTACCTCTATCTTATCAACTGTAAAATTTCTACAAATATATAATGGTTACTAAGTTATGTTTAACTTTATACTAAGCTCATCAGAGCCTTCTGTATCCCATACTTATAGCTGACCCAGTACTGCTCTGCCTAGACCATCACTTGAAGTCAGAGCTAACCATTAAACTGCTATATCTTTGGAAAGTTTATTAGAACCTCTGATACCTTCTTTTTCTAATTTCTACTTCCTACTTATGAAGCTACAAGACCTACAAGACTTCACAAACTACCAATCCAGTAGCCTGATATGGTATCCTAAGATTTATTTTCTTTAATGAATCCAGCAACCTAGTTGGTATGTACTCCTTAGTGTTATGGCCTAAACCTTTTACCAAAATCTGAAACGTTTTGGCTTTTAAGTTTCAGTTTCGCCCCAAATCTGAAACTAGGTGAAATGTCTAAAACTGTGTGAAATGTTCGAAACTGAGTGAAATGTCTGAAACTAGGTGAAACTTTCAAAACTGGGTGAAACCTCTGAAACTGAATGAAACTTCTGAAACTAGATGAAATGTCTGAAATGTCTAAAACTTGGCGAAACTTAATCAAAATTAACATATTACATGATGCAGACTTCTATGCAACGATTTTTTTAAAGTCATGTGACTGCTGCATTTAAAATCGACTAATTAAATTTCTAAAAATTTCATTGATCAATATTAGGAGCAGTGGTCACATGACTTTTGAAAATTTCATTGGTCAATTTTATGTGTGATAGTCACATGACATTTAGAAATTCCATTAGTCAAATTTAAGTGTAGAGGTCACATGACTTTAAAAATCGTCGTATCAAAGTCTAAGTCATATGATATGTTAATTTTAATAGAGATAAGATCATGCTTCACCTAGTTTTACCTAGTTTCACCCAGTTTCGATGTTTCAGATGTTTTGCCTAGTTTTGGAGGTTTTACCTAGTTTCGGACATTTCACCCAGTTTCAGACATTTCACCCAGTTTCAGAAGTTTTACCCAGTTTCAGACATTTCACCTAGTTTCAGAAGTTTCACCCAGTTTCAGACTTGGTACCTTGGGCGAAACTAGGTTTCGGAGGTTTCAGAAGTTTTGCCTGGCTGAAAGTTTTGGTTTAGGCCATAACACTAGTGTTTCTTTATATATATTGTCATCTAATTCATTTTAGTTATCCTAGTAATCCTTTTTTAGGCCTTTTGATAGTTCAGTAGTACTGTTGAAAGTCCATACTACCTCTTTACTTGGGATTTTCAAGTGGATTTCTGACTCTTTAGTTCCTTTACTTTCTGTGCCTAGTGGTCTTATTATGGGTTTACACTAAAATCTTATATAACACCAGTTATTGACATTCCTCTATGTGAATATAATATTAAACTTTACATAGATGTTCTGAGCTTCTATTTAAAATGATGCAACAAAGGTTATAGATATACTAATTCAACTAATCTACAAAGACAGTTACTATAATACAGACCTATTTTTCAAAATTCGTCATCTATGAAATTTGAACTCTAGACCTGCCACTTGGAAGTTGACAATCTGACCACTTTATTAGATCACTACACCCCAACTTTTTTTTTACAAAACTAGCAAATATATAAACAAATATAGATTTCATACTGTATTTTATATCTTGCATAGTCTCAACTATATCTTCTACTAACTTATCTTATAGTTTTTCTTCTAGGTTACCCTTATCTTCTATTTTAATATCACAAATTATTATTAAAATTAACTTTTAGACTATTCAATAGATTAAATATCATACTTCATTCTTTTTTATTATTATTAATTAAACCAAATGTGAATTATGATTTTTTGTTATTAAAAGTCTTCAGCTAAATTAGTTATTAGCTCTCTTAAAGTAATGTGTCCTTAAATAAAGGCCAGAGCGTTATTTCACAACAATACAGTACTCACAATATATATATTAACTAGTATAGTCGTAAAGAATTTAATTATTATGTGACCTTACGAAATTTTACAGGATTTATTTATTGTTGTAATTAAAATATATCAATGTAGTATCACCTATCTGAAATTGCCACTTTAGATATCAACCCCCGTAGCTCACCCACAAGATTTTTCCGGCACGTGACCATGGTCAATTAGATTGGAGGAGAAGGTGTAACGTGGAAATCACGTCTTTTTTAAAAATCGCTATTAACTCGAAATTTTACCTATGAAACTGCCTTTTGTGTTCTAATAAAAAAAATTCCTCGTGAAAGTTTAGTGTAAGCTATGACCTTTCTTATCCTCAATCCTAACTCTAAATATGATGTTTATTACTTTAAAATCTTTCGCTTAATTCGAATGGTTTGATTTTACATTACACCTGATCCTTCGATCTAATTGGCCAAAAATCACGTGCCGGAAAAGGTGAGATACTAAAATGCATTACTTTAAATATCTAAAGTGGCAACTCCAACTTCAGATGTGACACATACGTGCTTCATCGAAATGGGTTCAAATCAGTCAAATATCGATTCCTTTGACTTATCAAATAAAGTCGTTATAATTACTGGCTCTACAGATGGTTTATCAATTCTTTTTTACTTAGTTTTTTTCTTTTACCTAAGCGAAAATTTCTTTCGTAATTAGTAACGTTTGATTTTTTTTTTTAGGAGTTGGTAAAAGTTTAGCTCGAATAATCTCATCATATAATCCAAAGCGCTTAGTACTTCCAGTTCGTAATCGAAAAAAAGGCGAAATTCTCCTGGAATATATCAAATCATCTAAGGATGGAAATGTTGAATGTGTCGAATTATGGGATATTGATATGGCAGACCTGCATAGTGTAAAGAATTTCGTCGATAAATTTATTAAAGAGGTTGGAGAATTACACTGTTTGTGGAATAATGCTGGTGTGTATACTGTTTGGTTAGATAAGATTGTATTATATTATTAATTTTGAATCTAATTATCAATGGGAAAATAGGTGTCTTTTGCCTAGGTGTGGTCAAAACAAAGGACAATTTTGAACAACAATTTCAAGTAAATTCAGATTAAGAATTTTTTTCTTTTTCATTTGACTAACAAATTCTTAATAACTTTTAATAACGCCCTTTTGAAACAAGGTTAACCATCTTTCTCACTTTCTCCTGACTTCACTTCTGATCTCAACCATAAAAGACACTGCAACACCGGAATCTCCGTGTAAAATAATTCATACAAGTTCAAATTCTTCAAGAGTTGGTAAAATTGAATATGATAATCTCAACGGTGAAAAATCTTGTAGTTTTATGAAATTGTATTCAAATACAAAGTTAATGGTCAGTAAAATAGTTGATGCATTTAAGAAATTACATATAATAGACTGTTGGTTTTTATGACTAATTATATCTGACAAATTTTTAGAACGTTGTATACAGTAACGAACTTAATCGTCGCTTACAAGGTTCAAGTAAATAGTTCTGTCATACTTTTATTATATAATATATGAAACTTTCTTTTATAATTATTTTATAAATATTTTTTTATACTCATATTTATTACTGATTTTACATTGATTTTACAATAACTTAGACGTTACGTCCACCGCATGTCATCCGGGATTTATAAAATCAAACATTGGTGGTGGGGGACTATTTCAACGTTTTGTCTTCGCATTCGCTAACTCACCTGATACTGGTGCAAAAAATGTAATATACCCCGCTTTAGACCCAAAAATCGATGAGGGTGGAAAATATTTTGAGGATGCTAAAGAATTCAAATTAACAGGGCAAGCATTAGACGAAGAATTAGCTAAAAAATTTTGGGAAAAATGTGAAGAATTGTTAAATAATTATGATGCTAATCTATTAAAGTAGAATTATATTTTAATCATTGAAAATTTTTGTATACTGTATAACGACATCTGACTGCAACGAATTTTTTAAAATTTAGTCCTATATACTTAAGATGAAAATGTTTCCGGTTAAACCAATATCTAATTCTGATAAATAAAAAAACATGTTTATTTTCTGAATACTTAGTTAAATTAATCCTTTCACTAAGTGTAAACTCATTGAATCACATGCCCATTACTGCCAATAAGTTTCTAATCAAATAATAATAATTTTAGCGTTTAGCAAATCATTAATGAAGAGATGTGCTAGCCAATTTTTATATTTTTTATGTTTGTATCAAAGTTTGAGTTTCAAATTAAATATTATTATGGGCTGGTATACGGTCACTAATACACACACAAAGCCCAAAGAAGCGACGAATTGTCACTTGAGAAAAGGTTATGCTGCGTAATGTTCCTTAACGTATTAAGAGGCTGAATGATCTGGGACAGGTCTAAGGCAATGGTTAAGGAGTGTTTCGAAAGAGTTTTAGGCGGGGTATGTAAAGGGTTTTTAAAGGTAATTTTTAGAATATATAAATTAAAATGATTTATCTATTATAATAAAATTTTATAATGTTACAGGGTTGCAACCTTCTTGGTACAATACAACTAAGTAAAAAGGTCACCTGGTATAGTGATTAATTATTGCAAATATATACAGGGTAAAGGTTTAGTAGTTTATTTTACTATATAGCAGTAGGTAAATGGTTTAAGATAATAACAATATATAGATTAATTTTTTATTAACAACATACATGGTAACAAATTTGCCTGTAGGAATACTCTTGAAGGAGAATATCATATTTTACAATTAAAAGATCATTATGTTTAAATTGAAATATAGAAATTTAGAATTGATTAGAAAGAGGAAAAGTATCTTTTATATATCTTTTTACCTAGTGGGGGTAATGGAGATTTGTGTAGTAATAAGTAAAGTTTGTACAGAGATAGTTGAAATAATATTTGTCACTTATACTTGAAACACTTGAAGTATGTGTCAAGGTACTTGGATCTGTACTAGAACATTTTGGATTATGAAGGAATACTTGGAGATTGTGCAGAAACATTTGGGATTGTGTAGAGATATTTGGAAATTATGTAAAGAATACTTAAGCTTCTTGTACTGTGATATTTGATATAGTAATTTAGTACTAGGATATATGAAACTTGTGTAAAAGTATTTGAAACTTGTATAACAATAGTGATATCACAAATGTTACTCAATTCATGTGCTGTACTATAGTTCTAATAGCCAATTAAAGATCTTTTTATCTAACTACTATATATTATAATATATTATACTAATAACTAATAATAATATTTTATAAAATATAATAATAAATATAAATAACTATAATAATATAATATACAGCACTATAGTAAAAAACTACTTTGCAATAATAATATATATTATTTTAAAAAAATTATACTTGTGTATGCTGTGTCTCAAATCAATACTTGTATTAAATCTAATTTAACATATATTAAATGTTGATTTCTAGGTAATGTGTATCATTTGATAATTGGCTATCTAATATATATAAGTTGTAATTTGATATAAAATTATTAAAATTAAAATAAAGTTTTAGCAAATATATAATAATATAATTACATAATAATATAATTATAAGCAAAAGTATAAAAAAACTCTTTGTTACTTTTGTTTTATCTTTTTTTCTTGATATTTGGTATATATAAATATTTTTTTATAAATATTGATTTTATATCTTTTGTTAGTTTTTTATTCAATGTAACTTTATATTATATTGTCACAATCTAAAATAGAATCATTAATAATTTATTAAAGACATAATTAAACAGTAATAAATATTAATTAATAGATATAGTATATGTATAGCATAATTAGTAGATATAGGGTATATAGCATAATTAGTAGATATAGTGTATATAGCATATATATCATATATAGCACATATAGTAGATGTAGCATATATAACATATATGGCATATATAGTATATATAGTATAAATAGTGTATTTAGCAAATAGAGAAAAAGTATATAAGTAATGCATTTAGAATAGAATACAAGAGAACATACAGAATATAGAATAGGATATAATAAAAAAAAACCTACCTTATACTCACTAAATCCAATGCTTCTTTCAAGTGTTGTGATGTTCTACATTATGCTAACAACCCATTAGCTACTCTATAAATAGGGAATTTTAGAGTAGTTCTATCTTGTATTATTATAATATATTAGTTTTTATATTTAATATTAGTAATACTTATAATTTTTCTTTAAAATAACTAATCTTATTCTTATTTTTATTTAGTACTAGTATTATTTCTTTGACACTGCTTTATAACTAAGTTTGTTCTTATTTTTTTTAAGTAGTTGCTTTTTTTTAATATGTTTAATTACTTTAATTTTGTTTTTTTTTCTTAATATTAGTTTTATTTTTTGGTATTATTTTATAATTGGTTTTATTAAGTATTATTATTTTTTAGTATATTTAATTATTCTTATCTTATTTATATTTTTTTTAATATTAATTTATTTTTTATATTATTTTATTATTTAATTTATTCTTGTTTTTTAAGTATTTGTTTTTTTTAACATACTTAAATTCCAATCTTGTTTTTATTTTCTATAAGTATTAGTTTTCTTTAACAATATCTTAGTTGGTTTTGTTTTTAGTTCTTTAAATAATTATTTTTTTTAGCATACTTAATTTTACTTAAAATTTTAATTTTGTTTTAATCTTTTTAATCATTAGTTTATTTTTTAATATTGTTTTATAATTAGTTTTAGTTTTGATTTTTAAGCATTTATATTGTTCTTTAACATATCAAATACTCTTATCTTGTTCTTATTTTTCTTAAGTATTAGTTATATTTTTTAGTATTATCTTATTGAGTTTTGTTTTTGTTTCTTTAATTGATTGTTTTTTTTCATATTTAATTTTATTTATAATTTTAATCTTATTCTTTTTTTCTTAAGTATTAGTTTATTCTTTAATGTTATTTTATAAATTTGGTTTTTTTTTTATTTTTTAAAGAATTGGCTTTATTTTTTAGTATTGCTTATAACTTTAATCTTGTTTTTAAAATAAAATATATATTCATAAGTATAAATATTTTTGATCAAATCATGAAAAATATATAAATAATCTTCTAAAAATTAAACAAAAAAAAATATTAATAAATTATAAATTATTAAATAAAATAAAAATAATTTTATTAAATTTATATGATAATTTATTCTATAATAAAAACTTATGTTTTTGAACTAAAAATAAATTTATAACTGAAAAAATTTTGTTAAGAACTACAGAATAATTATTAAGATTATAAATAATCTTATATTAATAGTTAAAAAAATTTTATATTAAATTTATAATAAAAAACTTAATATAATAGTTAAAAACAAATATAAAACACAGTTTATAATAAATAGAAATATATTAGATAAAAAATTATAAAAATGTTTATAAATAATTATATAGTATATAAAATAAAAAAACTAATATTTTATTATTTAGTACCAAAATCTAGAATTTTTGTTTAAAATACAGATATTGTAAAATTAGTTTATTTTTTTTAGTGTTAAGATAAGACTTTGCTTATATCTTTATTAGTAATTTTAGTTGTACATATTAATATACTAGAAATTAAAGATATACTAAAATTATAAAATACAAAATAAAAACTACTTGCAAGAATTAAAGCTCAAACAACTTTATTTGTAACCTAAATCCAAAAATTGGATTATTTAAAATTACTGTAAATTATATATATATATATATTTTCTTTTTAGCAGCTTTATTGTAAATCTTTATAAAGATCTTTATATATAAGTAATATACATTTTTAATTTAAAATTTCTTTTTTAGCTGCTTTTTTGAATATTTAAAAGCAGTTTACTGCATTAGTTTGAAGTATACTTAGATTTAAAAAACTGTAATTATATTATAATTAGGCTTTATATATTATACAAATAGATTTTATTAATTTATCTTATATTTTTTTAAAAAAATACAAATATATATGTTATATAAGGAATTATTTTATTATATTCTAATATATAAAGCCCTTTATATCAAAAAAACCAATTAAAGTTGTATCTTTTCTCTTTGATTTTTTTATATGATTGAATTATCTTTGACTACATTGTAATTAGATATTAAAAAGAAGTTTGTAATATAAGTAATCAAAGAATTAATTACATTATAGTCATTAATTAAGTTTATAAATAGGTATCTAAGATACTCTTAATTACAAGATTTAATAAAATATATAAATAGCATTTTGAAACAAAAGCTAGTTAAATAAAGAGAAACTATTAACTAAAATAATTAGTTATTTATTTAAGATTTATAATAATAGCTATAAACAATTTATAATACAAATCGTATAAAAAAAACTTTTATAAATTAATATATGAAAATAAATTTTATAGTAATAGTATTCTAATAAATAAATTTTATAAAAATAATATTTTTGATAAAGAGAAAATACTAAATACAATTAAAATTTTGACATTAATTATAAAATAAATCTAAATAATGATATATATAATATTTTTTTAAAAAAATATTTTTGGCAATTTTGCTGACTACTTTTATTAAAAATTCTTATATATATGTTTTGTACAATGTTGGCTTAAATTTTGGCTTGATATCTACTAACTGTTTTTATAAATGCCTAGAAGCAGTTTGCTATATTAACCAAAAATTAATCTAACCAAAGAGCTATATCAAGCTAGCTATTAGAGCTATAAAAATATAGCTTTATTTTTCTTTTTATAAATTAATATCTGAACTTAACTATAAACTTTGTATTTTTTTATTCTTTTTTTTCATTTTCTTTATAGTTTGGCTTTAATTTTTTGCTATACCTCTTTCATATATCATATATCAGTCTGCTAACTGTACTATTTTTTGATGTATTTCTTTTTTGTTTCTTATCTGTAAAGTAATTTTATTTGTCTTTTTTCAGTTGGTTACTACTTTACAA